CCAACAGATTATGAAATTAAACAGAAGAGTGGTTCAGAAGATGCTTTTTCACAGTCACCCACAGCCATTGCAGGAGAGAATAAAGCCATTTCAATTAAACTGCTTCTTGGTGCGTGTCTACTGCAACTAAACCAACGTTAGGGTTTGTTTGTTGGGGGTGGGAGGGACAGTGTGAGCTGAGACCAAATATTACTGGTACATTGCAGAGATATGGGACAGACTGTGGACAGGTTTGTGAAGACAACAGAATCCACTTCTAAAAACTCAAAATCGTGGTTTGGAGTTTTAGCAGAATTCACAGGTTTTACCTGACAGGGCCATGATGTGAATGCTTCTGCTATAAGATGTCTGAAGCCTACCAGCCTAAACAGTGTGTACCTGCTGACAGGCATTGCTCCACCTGACATCAGAAGAGCAGTGGCCAGCAGGATAGAACAACTGAGACAAACTGAAGATGCGAGACACTCGTTGCATGACCATCCTGCAGCACACAAAAGTGTGAAGTCACGTGGGAGTTTCCTTGCCATCACCCAACCTCGCGATGCCACACCCAAACAGACAAGACTATAGACGCGGAACGAGAGGCTGAAGAAAATACCCGATAGCAGGAAAATGGACATTCCAGCAACTGAGTGCTTACCACCAGGGGCTGACGAACGACAGCAAAAGTGGTGATGTCTCAACCGCTTACGTACCGGAGTCAGATGCTCCGAAGGAATGAATGAAGTGGGGCTATAACTGTTGGTTTAACCACCTGTGATGGCAGAACAGAACCTCAGACTATACAACACCTGCTGCAATGCCCGTTGCTTGAAGGCACATGTACAATGAAAGACCTCAGAAAGTACAATAAATGAGGACGAGCATGTGTAAAGTCTTCCCCAAAACCAAGCCTGGGCGGTTTAGGGATTCATCAGACTGTTAGTTGCTTGCTACCTGACAAATAGCCACCACTCACAGCAGTCACTCCTGATATGACTTGTCACAAAACTAAAGCAGCACATATTTATTAGTGTTATCATAAGCAAGGGGAAGGAAATCACAGAACTGGACTACTGAGATGGATTCTGCCCTTACAGCCCCAGGTTTTATGCCACTGCGGATGCACAGATTTTCCTGGTTTAAAGAAGAACAGATTTAGGCCCAACATTGACAAGGAGAATGTTGTGTAATTTCCCAAAACACGTCAAGATATTCACATTTCGTTTCAATGGTTGGATGCTATTCCTGACAAGAGAATATTGCAGGTTTATATTGCCCCCACCATGCAAACATCTCAAAGAACTTTACAAACACAAAACAAAGCTCAGGTCCTTTCCGTTAGATTCATGTTGGCTCTGTTTCATCACTGAAGAAAGGGAGTCAACAAAGAGGTTAGAGTCAGGGTTTCTCAACCCAAGAGTTATGACCCAAAAGCGGGTCGCAAGAATATATGAAAGGATTGCGAACAAACTTTAAAAGTGGATTCTCCTTTAAGCAACTAAAGACTTTCTAAGCGTGCATATCCTTCCTCAGGATCAATGATGCTTGAAGAACTGAAAAGGGTAAAACATAAAAAGAGTCCTGTTGGCTAAGAGTCCAAAATAAGCATGTTCACACAGGGGTTTGCATTGGTTTATCTGAACTGGTGCAAGTTTATGCACACCAAGTTCTTAAATCAAAACAACTTTCTTTAAAAGGTTCTAGTCTCTTAAAGGCCTACGTAGAAGATGCTGAACATTATTTGCTGTAGGGGTAGGTAGCAACAGACTTTGCTTTTCTTAACCATTTCTTGGCTGAGCTGAGCGAGATCCTACGCTGATGAGAATGAGATTTAAGCCATCCTGGCCCCGACCAAGCACTCCCAGCAACTAGTAAGGTTAAGTGAGAACTGGAGAGAACACCATAGAAGGCAATAGTGGGGGGAAAATTACCATTTTCACATGTAACGCCACCATAAGCTCAACCTCTAGCTAATTTAGAAAGGTGCAGGACAGCAAGCATCAGAACAAGAGGAAAATTAAAAATTTGAAGGCAGCATGTTGTTGGCTCCATGGGAAGGAATAGGCAGGGACTTAGGCAAGCTCAAGGGCATTTATCTTGCTTCAAAACATACTGCAAAGCTTCATTCTTATAGAAATAGGCTCAGAAAATGTAGCGCATCTCACGAGCAACGAATGCTCACTAATTTATTAGCTAGTTTCCAGTTGGATTCTATTCCCGCTAAAGCAATAGCAAGATCACAGATTTTACTAGGCTGTAAGGATCCCTCTAGCACAGCCTATCCAGTTTAGGTGAACAGCCTGTATTCCGCAGATGTGGTCATTCAGAATATTTGCAGAGGTTTTGCAGCATGGACCAAGCGGGGACCATTTCCCTTACAAGCAATCTCTTCCTACTGGAAGCATGAGAGATGCTGTGGCACAGATGTGCGTTAGGACTGTACAAAGCTTTGGTCGCTGATTTGATTAGGTGGAGATCCGGCTCGATGCGGTGGCCGAATCTCTGAATCCGAATCAAATCAGGAAACCCTTTAATTTTTCGGAATCTAATCAGAACCCTCCGAATCGATTCAGAAAGATTTGACGAGTCGGACAGATACACAGCTTTAAATGTTTTTTCTACGTACCTCAAGGTACCAGGCGGCTCATGAATGCTGCAATGGTGGGGCAGGTGGAGCGTCCCCGTATAGGTGTGTGCGTGGGGGGGGGGGTCCCCAGAGCACTCAGCAGACCTGGAAGTGGACCAGAAACACTTCCGGGGAGCTCACGCGGGCCCTACCCCGTGCCCCTCCTGGTTATGGGGAAAGGACTGAAGCCTCAGAAGCCTCTTGTGATGTGTATGTTGCATGGCACAATATCAACTATGTAAGAGTTCCTTAAGGACAAGTAGCCTTGCCTGTAATCATCCTGTCTTCGAGAATCCGGGCTCAAAAGAAAACCCCTAGATCTCCCTGAAAATACAATATTTCATCTTCAGTGAGGTGAGGGAAAGAAAACCAGAAAACCAGACACTTTGTTGTCACTTTTTTTTATATAATTTTTACAATATATTTCTCTTCATTTGCATATGTTACCCACATCTATAACTTTCTTTGTACATGTTGAACTGAGCTGGAATAAATCTAAAGATCTGATAATATTGTAAACAACCAAATGATAAAAATCGCAAAGTTGTAAACCCGTACGAAAAGAAATTATAAAACTTCATTTAAGGTATTTAATGAAAGCAAGTCAAATGTATCATTAGGAACAACCTGGTTTGCTTAAATACATCACATGTGGTTTAGAACACAACGATTTTTATTTAGGCACATTTTTCAGCATACCTGTTTTCCAGCCAGTTTTGTACTAATCAATAGTATCATCTGCATCCATGCGGAACTGCTGCAGTAGTTCAAAGAGCTACTAATCATAATAAATACTAAATTCATTTTGTTACTCCCCTCCCCCCTTTTAAAACTATAGGAAAAAAATCAATGTTTCTTGCCTCTTAAAAATGCACAATGTATGATCAATTGTAAGGCAGTCAATGAGAGACTCAGTGTCAACTCAGGTCATAGTCCTTCAGTTCCATCTAGTGGGTGGAAATAATATTTAGCAGATAACTCACAGGCAGTCGCTTGGGAGAACAAGAGGACTGACTGGCAGACCTGCTGATAAAGGTAGTAAGTGGTATACCTAGCTAGTAACATTGGCCACTCCTGCATCATTCTTATAGCCTTTATAAACAATGATATATAGATATATATATAGATAGATATATATATATATCTATATATCTATAGATAGATAGATATCTATCTATAGATAGATAGATATCTATCTATAGATAGATATCTATCTATCTATAGATAGATATATATAGATATCTATCTATATATATATATATAAAATTTATTTATTTATTTATATATAAAATAAACACACAGTCCAACAGAAATGTGAATAGGGAAATGCCATGATAGGATCAGATAAGGGTCTATTTACAGTCTGTATCCCTGATGCGAAAAAAAGGAAAAAACCTTCTGTAAATATACTGAGGCAGATCTCAACAGCAAACTACTGTACATGCCTCATATACTGCACGATCAGCCTGTAGCGTAACTCTACCATTTCACCAGGGGCTCACTTTAAGAAAGTGGGAAGGATGTCCACACTAAGAACAGCAATATGAAAATGCCTGTCTGCCCCTGTAAGACCACACTGTTCATGAAATGTGGACTTCTGAAAATGTCCACAGTTTGGCTGCACTGACCTTCATTGCCCAGCTGCTCCAATAGGTCAGAGAGTGACATACAGCTAATCAGGAAAGCTCCTTCCCTCCCCTGCAGGCTGATTCCAAAATTAAAGGCATCACTCAGAAGAGGGACTAAAACGAGGAAACTGCATATTCTTTTATCCACGGATTTAGGAAATTCATGCTCAGTTATGTTACAGTGAAGGAAGATTTTCAAAATAGCATAGTATTTCTCTCCCTCTCTTTAGTCTTTGGCTGAGGACAAGTTCTTCCTAAACTCTAGGATCTGCTGTTTTCTAAGATGGACACCTTATTTCTGAAGGCAAGGATCATAGCACAGTGCTCCCTGGAGCCAATGCTGGGGACCTTCAGTTTCAACTTGCTTGTTCAAGTATATTACCTTTCCAATTTAATGTCCTCTCCCACAGCAACACCGGCCTTTATACTCATATGGTGGGATGGGAACCAGGTAGCTATTTCTAGGGCTGCAGCACCAATGACCACCTGAAAATGGGAACATTAAAATACACTGTGTATTACCCTACCAGAGGGACATAGCACCACCTTTAAGACTCTCTCAAGTCCCAGCTGGCTGGAAGAGCATCATGCCATTCTCAAATGAAGATTTCCTTTGCACATTGCATAGTGCTATTCGGTGGCTATTCAGGTGCCATTGACCTTTTGGACAAACTAGGCCAATGAATACACTCCATTCGAACACAGCCATCATTTTTATAACATTTTGATCAATTTTCCTGGCTGTGTGCTTTCTTCATATTCTCTTTTTTTTTTTTTTGCGGGGGGGAGGAGGGGGGAACAAGGGAAAAATCTACATCCAAGAGTTCTGAAGACTTTACATTCAGAAAACTAGTCAGATATTTAGCACACAAATCCCTCCAAGCTCCTTGCAGTTGTCTTTGGAAAGGGAATAACCAGCTTATTTGGGCAAGATTAAAGCCAATTTATTTCAACAGAGGTCTTGTATTTATTCCACATTCAGCAGGAGTAATGCAGTTATTGCTATATAAGTCAGGTTAGTCACTAATCCTCACCACTTAATGCCAGGAATCAGGGTTTCCCCAGCATTTGTCAGAAAAAGCTCCTGAGCCATCAGTACCCAAAGAGTTAAAAAAAAATGTCAGGAATAATTTCTTGTAAATATGTGATCTTTAGGAAACACACAAGCTATGTATCACAGCCAGCACTCCTCAGTTTCCCATACAACCTCTTCTTGAGCTTCTCCAAGGGCAGCTATTGCTGTTTCTGCCCGACACCAGAAAAATGTATTGGAGACAAGTTAGGATCAGATCAGGTGGTTGACAAAACGAGAACAGTAGAACCGTTCACTTCTCACAAGGGTACTCTGCCACAGGAATTCTTTAACTGCTGTTTGTACTGAAGTTTAGTAATGGATTAGCTTCTGAAGTTTTCCTCCACGAGTAGTGGCTTTCAAAAGCAAAATGAAACCTAGCAGGATTCAAGCATGTGCCATTTCTGCAGCCCGCCAAGAGTCTGCTTTGCCTATTTCACTTCCAAAGAAAAGCGGATTCTGCTAGTGGCACTAGCTTAAGTTCGGCAAGACTTTTAAAGCTTTCATTTTCCAGTTTCTTGGGAGCAGATGATACCAGCACAGAGCCTTCCATTCTCACACTTCAGGTAATCTTCTCTCATTTGCTTCTTCTGAATAAAAAAAAAACACTGTTCTGTTTACTCTAACATGCTACAATATGTGCATACGTAACTGCAGGTGACGCATGAGTTACTCCAAAATGTGCTTTTTCTTTGAAGTGCGCTTTTACTTTTACAAATTCTACATCAAAGTGGAAGGAAGAAAGGCTGTAGAGTGCTCATACATTGAAGCTTAAGGATCTTTTTCCTGAATGGAGTTAAGATGTTTGTTCCAAGGTTCCTATGGACAAACTATTCTATCCCATGCACTCCGGCCAGTATTAGACATTCCAGAAACTTGTTGATTTGTTGGGATAGTTAATGGCAAGGCTGATAGCAGCAATGTTTTTCAGGGCCTGGAGGGGAGGAGGAAAAGAAAGTCAAGCATCACAAAGATTATTACCATTGAGTAATTATTACTCTATGTTGCAAAGAGCCACTCTGTGGTGCAAACTGAGCAGAGATGGGAATAGGGACGTTTGTGAATAGGTTCAATCTGTAGGAACTCAGCAGAACCACACCGTCCAAGAGCTAAGGTGGAAGAAAGATCCAGACGGAGCCTTGCACTAGTACTCACCAAGCTATCTGGGCTAAACCACTTCAAAAGGTGAGTAAATGGGTTTTTTCATTGCCAATAAGCATGTTAATACGTGATCCAAAAAAATAATGATTTGTCTCAGAAAAACTGATGAAAATTGAAAAGACAGACACAAAACTTTATGGGGAACTTTTCTCTGAATACATAGACATGACAATGTGACTTGACTCAGTTCATGTTGGTCATTTCCTTCATTTTGGCTTGACCTGGATTCTGCCTTTCATAACTTGGCACTCCACAGACAATTACATTTATACGGAAGTTTAAATGGGTGGCAGGATGAGAGAAAGAAAGAACTGAGAGGTAATACCAATTTGTGTACTGGCATTTTATCTTTAGGGGATCTCGAATCAAGTTCTTGATAATGAATTTTGGAATCTTACGGTAATCAACAGTGGTTGTACAACTACTTCATAAAACCCAATGAGCAAATCAGAAATGACTCTCTTTCACACGAGGAATTTTAATACCTGTGCTGTGCAGCGGTGAAGGTGATCTTCGGTATTTAAGGCAAGCAAGTAGTCCTGCAGAGATCCAAGTTCCTGCATTCAGAAACAACGTTCCATGAAACTACTTAAGCATGGTATTTTTAACACAGCTGTGGTCCTATTAGCATCTGAATTTCAATTCCTGTAGTGTCCACAGAGGTAATCAAAATTAGGTTCAAGACTACAGGACTTAAGTACAATCCTAACTGTATTCAAAGACTACAGATTTTGATTGCGTCTTGCCGCATCTATACATGTATAGCTATACTATATAGCATACAGGGTTCAAAACCAGCTCAGCGCAAGCTACAGTAAAATGTTCCAAAAGGTTATTGATCTGCCTCTACCCCCATGACTTTGGGGCATGCATCCTTAATTATGCTGGGAAGAACTGTGTCCATTTCTCCAGGTTCCAAGACTGATAAGGAGGTAATATGTCTCTGCATAAGGATTTTCACTGAACTCCCTCAGGAAAAGCGCTCACAATCTGTCCAATGCATACAAAGTTCTGACGTACTTTTTCCAAGAAGCAAGAAAGAAATGCAGCATAACACTGCATTCCAAGTGCCAGGGAAGACAGAGAGAGAGGCATACAGGAAAAAAGGGCTGCTTACATTAGCTTTATTTTCTGTAATGAAGAAGAGTTCGGTGAGTGCACGATGAAGGGGAAGGAGGATGCCAGGCTTGGTCATGTCATGACACAGGTTGTTTTCCATGGTGGTGAAAAGCTGCCAGAGTGGCTTCAACAAGGTGAGATCACAGTCCCTAAAAAAATGATTTAAATGAAATGGAAGATAACTCATGTTTATAAGCTTATTTCTGAGACAAAACAATGCCTTATCAAGGGAGATAAAACTCAGTGATAACTCCTTGATAGTTAATGCTATAAACCAGTTAACGAGGCATATACTACAACATAGAACTGCATATGATATTTGGTTACAGAAACATAGCTGACAAACTCCATGCACAAGCTATTCAATATCTTGAATGATTCTAGTCCAAATACAACAAAGCATTTTAAAATGAAGAAACCAGAAGCTTCCATAAACTTGAATATCTAAACTGTCTTGCTGAATAAGGATGGATCCTTAGGAATTGTGACCTTTAAAATAAATGAATGCAATACATCTCTAAATGCTTGACCTGCACCAATTAGAACCTTGCAGTACTAAACTAGAATGCAGGGAAAATAACCTGTTTATGCAGCTACAGTTAATTAGCACTGCTTTACAAGTGACGGTTTCAGCCTTATTTTTTTTTTTTTAATTTCCATCATAAAGCAAGCTAGCGCAAGCACCCCTGCACCATACAACCTTACAAATACATAGAACAGGGATCAAAAAAGAACTCCATTTAAGACGGTCTTGATCAGAGCAAGAAGGAAACTTGACAAAAATTTGATCTTTTAACAGTTAAGTTTGTTGCCCACAGTCTAAGACATTTTTAAGCATGGAAGTTTAGATGGAAACCCAGCAATTTTAGCTGGTTGCAAGCAATAGCCTTTTAACAAACTGGCACATTTGCAGGCTTCTGCCTGTGCTAGAAGGGATTATCTAAAGGGTAGAAGGTTTCACCCAAAATGTGTATGCAACTGCAAAAGATTTCAACACACAAACATGTAGGCTTCTTTTGACCAAGGAAAAGCAGTATGTGCCTAGTACTTTCAGGAGTTTACTTGTTCTTAATTGAACTCAGTGCAATTCAGATAAGGGTGGACTTGCTGGAAACTGTTTGCCTCCATTAAAGTCAGTAAAATGTTTACAAATTATTGTAAAATCTCAATATTTAAAAAATAGAAATACGCAACACCAACCACCTTTGTAACCCAGATTCAAGTCTTAACTCACCTGCGGTTCACGAAGTTTCAGTTGTAGACTTTAGCGGCACAAATCACAGAAACCTCCCTCCCTTATGGCAGTGCTGAATCTGACAATATCTTTTCACCACTTGGTTCATGGTCTCCTCACCTCAACTAAAAGGAAGACTTACACCTGGTTTCTCAAAGTTTTCATAGAATTAGTGTCTCTAAATAATTAACTATGAATCTGAGAATTGTTCTAGCCAGAGGATTTGCTCTACTGTGTTTTAAAAAGCCATCTCCAAAGAAGAAACAGCATTCAGAAAATTACTTTTTAAATGGATTTTTCTAATCTTTTCCAATAAAGCTTTTCAGCAAGGCTTGGGGTCATGATACTCTGCATCCATTATGGTCGTGAATTTAGCCCGCATGCCTCTGAGGCATATTTAGTGCACAGCATAGAACAATGGGTTTACCTTTGGTTGCTGCACTGCACTATCTTGAGCAGTAAATGGATAGCCTTCAGACGCTGGTGCCCAGTCTGACGACATGCTACTCCTACCTGCCATTTCCAGATTTTGGCCAGTGGAAGGTGTGGAACTGCCCTTTCTTCTGATAGCATCTGTTTCAGAATCTCAAAACCTGAAATTGAATATAAATCTCTTATTTCTAAAGGGTTACATTCATCTGAAAAATTATATTCTCTCCACATATTTAGAATTGTTGTCATAAGCAAAAATAAAATGTATAAACCAAAACCTGAGCTGAGGAAAGAATGAGCGCTTAGGCCAAACCCAACACTGCAAGTCCGTTTGAAGGCAAGACTTGGAAAGAAAATGAATGGGGGTTGTACAGCTAAGTCTTTTACCCAACTTTGAAAATCTCAACCCTATTATTTGCAATCACAGTTTTCTCCAAGTAAGGGCAACAGAATATCAGCTCTGATTAATATGATATATAGTAAGCCTAAACTGACTGCAGAATACTCATAGCCTATAACTTAAAAGACTACCCATTTTTAATATAAAGTAAACCAGCAAAGCCTAGCTGCAAATGAAATCCAGGAAAAAAGAGTCATCGTAAGATTAAATTACTCTTTAAATACAACTGTTCTCTATCTGAGCTTGAAGTTTCAGGGCTTTTCCCCCCCCCGAGGTACTGTTGTCAGGGTAAGGACACAGCAAATCACTCAAACCTCGAACTGAACAAAGTCTTAGTATTATACCACCTTGAAGGGAGAAACAAGTGCGCGTTAAGTGTAACACCCACACACACTTGAGTTGTGTATGGCAAAATGCACGTGCACGAGTGTGTGCGGTGTGAGTGTGTGCATGTGTAAGATGGCCCCTGTTGTTCTGGAAATCTGGGGCCCTATATCTGGACAAAACATGTAAATCCTCTGGCCTGATTGGCCAGGGAGAACAAAGACTTTCCAGGCAGATCGGTTAAGAGAAAGACTGGAGTGCGGTACTCCCTGACTGGGCAAGGCCAGGCTGGTTTGGGGAGGACAAGAAGCTGCTAGGGGCTGCTGAAGAGTGAAGCCTCCTCCAAGGGAGAAGGAATTTGCAAATACCAAAATGGGAAACTCGGGTAGAGGAGAAAGAGAGGGAGAATTGTCCCATTATCTGGGAACTCCTATCTCCTCCTTTTCTTCCCCCTTTTCTAAGATTTTAAGAGGTTAATACCAGGGAGGAGGATATCAATTCCTTGGGTTGGCTAGCTAGGAATTTGGTCTGGCAGTTTTAAACAGGGTTGAAACCTGAGAGTTTCTAGTTCTGTCAGCTTTGGGACGGGGTTGCAGTTTGCAACTTTCTGCTCCCAGTGGAGCGGTGTGACACACACTACCTGCAGCCCAGGCCTCGAGGGTAGGCCTGGCTTTTCCCTTTTGTTTCTTGTGATGGGTCTTTGCTCCAGTCAAGCTGTGTGGTTGGGTCAGCTGTAGCCAGTAATCAGCCTGGCTCCCTTTTGAGTTTGTCCTGCAGTTTTCACTTCAGCAGGCCATACAATCCAGCCTAGAAGTTTTGGGGTGCATGCATGTTGGCTGGAGCTGCAGTTACCCCCCCTGCACACACACAGAGCCTTTCCACGGGAGCAAAGATCGGCACTACCACTTCCCCAGGAGCAACGGAGTCCCTTGCAATGCAGAGGGTCCCACACTCTTGAGCAGCTCCCTGCAGCGTAGTGAACCCAAGGAGCAGCTCATAGGACTCTGGTGTGCCCCCCCCCCACCCTCTAGCCCATTGCTGAAAGGCAGGTATAAGGGTGCAGGCCCCCAGAACAACCCATTGGGAAGCCCCAAGTCCCAGACTGCCTGTATACAGGTGAAGCCTTCCCCAAGAGGGTGCCACCTATAGACTTTGTTTGGTAGTTCATAGTGTTTTAAAATTATATTTAGTGTTTTCTTTTGTTTTTTATTTTCTTTAAATAAACTAAACTTGGGGCTTGTGTTTATACTGCTTGCGAGGAGGGGGTTTGGTTTATATGGGACACCCCAGCAAATTTAATGTTCACAGATTTCTGGGTGGAGGCTCGAGCCACCGGTATAACTTATGGGGTACCCCAAAACCTGAACCCAGCCCTTCTTGCTGCCAACCGGTACCCAGCAGAAGGGTTACATAAGGCAAATAAAACATTTCTGGAAGTGCTGAAAGAATTATTTTGATGCGTCTCTTCAATTATTCTGAATAGTGCTTACCTGTCTGAAACCTTCCAAGGTGACCAGCTGTCACTGTAAACTTGTAACCCCACTCAGTGTTACTCATGTCAGAGGTAAACCGGTAATAGAGTGTATCTCCTGCACCACAGAGAGGGGAACACACACACATACATTGATGAGAAGAATAACTCAAAAAGAAACAATAATTAGGGCCTGGTTTAAATTGTAGGCCCAGCTTGCTAATATTGTGGCCTGACCAAGGCAAAGGCTGCCATTTTAATGCCCAGATCATGCCCCCCCCAGCTGTCTGAGGGGGAAGGTTTAGTGCCAGGCTTAATTGCAGCAGCAGAGGCCTTGCTCCCAAGGCCTCTGATCCCTGCTGAAAAGCCCATGCCCGCCCCCTCCTTCCCCCTCCACCT